ATAGCCACAAATCAAGAGAATATCGACGCTCGAATATGTAGCGACAATATTGACGTTACCGAAATTCACTGAGTTAACAAATGTTTACAATTCTTTCTCGATTTAACGACTCGTGTTTAAAAACCGATCGAGCCTGTTACACACACACACACACACACACACACACACACATACAGTCGACCGTGACCACTTTGCGAAATAAGCAATAAATATGTACACGTTGAATTTTAATTCGCAACAAACTTGACACAGTAGTTTGTCGAATACATGTACATCTCTTGTTTACTCCTATCGGTACAAAAAAATCGTTACCGGTTTGTACGGAAGTGACGCGATACTTGCACGTAACTTTGTAATCAAAACGAGCGCATCGGGAAACGAGTTGCATTTCGACTGTTTTACGAGAAGTAGAACATCGAACCATTTTCTTGATTAATGCGACAAGTAAATCGAGGATCTCGCGAGATGTCATTAATCCTCCTAGTCGCGAAGCACAAGACACGACGGTGCTAGAGCGCTCTTTTTCGTGTCTCGCACGCGCGCACGAGTACGTACTTGATCGCTAATCTATCAAGTTTGTATTTTTATGAACATAGTTGTTAAAACAATACAAAGGAAAAATCAAAAAGGTTCATTGTAATCTGATTTTAGCTGACGTTATTTCGTCAATAGCATGATATCATATGTCTTTTTTCACATATACGTATATCTGTTATCGGACATTCTATTTTCTATCATATATTGATACGTACCTGGCGATTTATCACGATACAATGGTGAACATTTTGCACCGGTGGCAATTCCTCGTTCCATTTCCCGATCTCTGTCTCTTTCTCTCTCTCTCTCTTTCTCTCTGTGTGTGTTCTCTCTGTCTCTCTTTCTCTCTCTCTCTCTCTCTCTCATCCGCGTGCGGTCTATGCAAACGCAATTAAACCGGCACCCTCTCTTGGTTCGTCGTTAACGGAGAGAGATCAGATGACAGGTCTCAGATTATATTAGCGTATCACAGTCCGCGGATCCAGCGCGGAAATACCGCGATCAACCATTATAATCCTGATCAAACACACTCGCTCGCGTGCCGCACTCGTCGCCATCGCGCTCTCGCCATCGCGCGGCGTTCATTCATTCATGCTTGGCCGGTCGATGGTTCCCCCTATGAGCGCACGTGGGAGCCTGTACCTTCCCCTCCCACAAAATTTCTCCTTTATATATATCATAATATCACAATAGACAATTTTGTTGTTTCGCTTTGTTAATATTCTCCTGACGATTTTTTTTGTTTTTTGTTTTTGTTTTACAATATGTGATAATAACCTTAAACTTATAGAAATCACAGTCGCGAATTGATAACGGATTCTCGTGCGTGCTTTTTCTCGCGTGACGACACGACGTTTCTCGTGTGACGTTCTCTCATCACATTTGCCGGATTAATACTCGTGTTTTCTCTCGACGACGGCGAGAACAAGGATGAACGTTTCTCCACTTCCTTTTCTTTGATCTTATCACCGATATTCGAGCGACGATCTATTAGGGCCTGCGATCAACGCGCGCGCGTTTCTCAACACTTCGTGCTTCTTTTTTTTGTATTCGCGATGACAACACGACGCAGCGCTAGCGCAAACGCGTTACCTATCTTTCCTCTTTATGTTGCGATTACTGCGGACGGATTTCTAGTGTATTTCCTTTCTAACGAGCCCGATTGCCGATTCCGGTCTTTGACTCTGTAGCGTTATCGATCATGCTTGCCTTCCGACACTGCTCCTCGCTCTTTGGTTACGTGCGCGCCAGGGTTTTCACCCTCTCTCTCTCTCTCTCTCTCTCTCTCTCTCTCTCTCGCTTTCGTTTCGTCCTTGATTTTTAGCTTGTAAGAGAAGAGAACTACCACTGGACGAGATCGGGCCACCAAACGACGCGGCTGCCGATTCGGAAAGAACGTCGTGCAACGGCAGCCAACAATAATGATCTTGCTGTTGCTACGTTGTTGGGAGCAGTTGTCTGATGTTGACTCCTTTTGTGCTCGTTTGCTGCTGCTGCTGCTGCTACTGTTGACTCGAGACGACGATGACTCGTTCTGCTGTGGTCCGCACGCGAACTCGGCAGTGTCGGCTTCTTCCTGAGGGAGCGCGCGGCGCGTGATGCCATCGTCCTCTCTGTACCCGTGCCGACCGCCAACTGTGTGCCGGCACAAAACCACCTCTCGTCACTCGACGACGAGGGCCGCCGGGGCGTACGCGCGCTCTCAGTAGTCGCTCGGAGTTTGCGACGGAGCAATGCGATCCGTGACTTTCACGTTCAATTTCCTCGTCGGATCCTATCGTTTGATTGTCATCCACCTCTCTCGCGCACCGATAACGTTCTGAGAGCCGAAGTTCGTCATAGTTTTGCTCGCGTCGCCGATCGTACGGATCGTGAATGAACGTCACTCTGATAGAAGTCAGAATAAGCGCGTTTTTCAAAGTGTTAGGACAATCTGAAAAAAAGAACGGAGCTTATATCTCACTCCGTTTGTTGTTTTCACAATGAGGTACTCGAGCGCACTCCTTTAATGTTTAATGTCCGTCTCGGAGCATTTCGAGTTCTCCTGGTATCAAGCGTAAGTTCTCACGTTGATGACATGTTCATCTTCTGTGATGTTCGCTACTGCTATTATTCCGCTGCACTATCACTCGATTGCGACTCGTCGTCGTGATGGACCATGTCATCGCGCACCGTTCCACGTTGCACTTTCATCGTAAAGGAAATAGAATCCCGATATCATATCTCCGAATCTGCTCGATAACACACGACTCGCGTGACTGCGACACCTTCGTCTTCGTCGTTGTCGTCGTTTTCGTCGTCGTCGTCGTCGTCGTCGTCGTCGTCGTCGTCGTCGCCGTCGGCGCCGCCGCCACCTTCGTCGTCTTCGACGCAAGGATTCTCGTGACGTCCTTCGTTTATTGGCGGCGTTGTCCAGGAAATGATTCGATTCTCGTTCCGATGGATAAGACGGTTACTAGACGGGTATTGGTTACAATTAACAAAAGTATAGTGCCGAGAACGCAACTCGCTGACAGCGATGATGACGACTCCGTGAATTGGCACAAGCCGAAACTGGCTGCTCGACGTTCCCGGCTGACGAATAGCGTGGACGCCACATTCGGTTGGTCCTCCTCCACGTTCCTCCACTTCTCGCGCAAGCTCCTCTCTCTTTCCCTGTCTCTTTCCCTCGTCTAGTCAATCCTTTCCCCGACTCTTGCCAGGTCTAACCCTCTCTTTCTCTCTCTCTCTCTCTCTCTCTTTCTCTCTTGCTCTTATCTCGCTATCCACGTTTTTTCTTTCTGTCTCTTCTTTTCTCCTTTTTGCTTTATCTCGTTTATCGTCTCTTTATATTTTTTCATGATTATTCTTGCTTACTTACTATGTCTGTTCTTTTCACTTCTTATTATTATTGCACTTTTATCTCGTTGTCTCACCTCTGTCTTTCTCTCTCTTTTTCTCTTTTTCTCCTCAAGTCCTTTTCACCCGCTCTCATTCCTTTCGCTCGCTCGCACTTTGTCGTCGTTCTCTCTGTCGCGTGTCACATTGCACAACCACATCGCACTGTCCTCATATCGGAGCTCATTCCTCTGAACTTCAACGCGGGGCGTGAAGCGACTTTCCAAATTTCGTTGCTGCTGCAAAGAACAGTGATGACATGCTGACGAGCTTTTCGCTCTTACTCTTATCGATTACGACCCATGATGTGCGGATTTGGTCGGAAAGAGCTTCTCTTCGTCACTGCTGTCAGTTTCGAACGAGAAAGAAACTCCACTGTTCTTTTTGGAGCACGTGTTGATCTCGCATATGCGAATACGAGACACGCAGTGATATCCTTCTATATGAGAGTAAGCGTAAAAGAGAAACGTGCGCCGCGCTACGTACGTGCCTGTGCCTGGCTACTGTTCGTCTGTATGTGCGCGTAGAGATATACATGTGTATATGCGAATATATGTGTGTACATGTGTGTCTGCAGTGTTACATGCAAGCGTGACCCTCCCTCCCTCCCCCCCCCGTGTACGTTGTTGTTAGGCGGTTGACAGCCGACTTCGCACTTTTCTTCCGATATGAAATCACGCGCCGTGACAGTGACAATAGCTTGGTAATGATAGTTCGGCCGTGAATTTCTTCTCTCAAATTGCCCACCGCGCCGTTTCGAAGGGAAAAATTTTTGCCACCCTCGTATCACGACGATCCAGGCGCCACACTGTGACGCCACCCTGAAATGGCTCAATCTTTAATATTTTACCGACTAAAAATCTATTCTCAAAACTGTGAAACTGTACAAGTGTTTCGAGAAACGTAGAGATTTTGTGATTCATATTCTCTGCAAATTATCAATAAAGACATGAAACAAACGAAAGTGTCTGCAAAATATTACAAATACGGAATTGAAAGGATTTGAAAAATAAAAATATAAGTTAGTTTAGTTTTAATCTGAATTACATCGATGTTCTACTTACGGAACGAAATAATTTCTCTATTTAATCCCGAGAGAAAATTCATATCCGCGGTAAAACTAACAGTTCAAGAAGGTCTTGATCAGAAAAGAGTAAATTATGCGTTAAGATGTTAAAGATGTAAAGATTATGATATTCGCGAGTGAGGCAATGTAATAATTGCGAGAAATACGGGACGCGACACGCGACGCGGTTTTTTGAACTTCAAGTAAACGTCAAGAAACTCGACATCGATATTGCAATTCTCGAGATATCGAAATGTGTAGCGCGAAACCCACAGATTGCCATCTATTGCGAGGAATGTTCAACTAATTGTCACAGATCCTCTGACGGTAATTAGTACGAAACAGAACCACAAGTAATTTGCGAGTGGGAGGATGAGAGCGGTCGTTTACGGTTTTACGTGAAATTTTTCGGACATGTTTACGACTGTCAAAAACAATGACGCAATCGTTATTTTATCTTAAAATTTAATATTTTTTTTCACCGTGATTGGTCACGAGATCTGCTGCGACTCGCGTTCAATGTAAAGCGATCTTAAGACATGCAATGCGCAGTTTCATGAAAACTCCGCATCTTCTTCAAATGTCACATAACCAAAATAATCAACTCCGTCAAATCCGTGGAGCGATACGATGTTTATGAGGAGTCTTATTTGACTGTGTATTGCGTGACAAGTGATAAAACTTATTATCATACAACAACGTTTCCGTTTGTGCGGTGATGTGTGCGTGATGCGTCTAGAAGCAATGTCGTTGGTGTAGCAGTAATTCGTCACACAGGAGAAAAGTAAACTCGAAGAAAATGACAACTAGTCAGAACGATCATTCTCTCGCTATCAGACAGGAAATTCAACGTTTTGAGAGTGTTCACCCGTCAATATATGCTATTTACGACCTTATAGAGCTCGTGCCCGACGCGCATATCGCTAAGCAAATTCGCGAACACGTCGTAGCAATAGAAGGTATGATTATTCAATAATTTTATATATACGCAATTTATTAATCTTAAAAAAGAAGATGTAAAATAGATGTATATGTTTGGTGTAACTGTAAAACATATATTCATATACAATCACATAATAATCAAATACAATCATTTTTGTGATTTAGATGTGTTTTTTTCTCTATATTCAGAGTCTGGTTGTTGTATAGAACTAATTCAGATGTTATTCTCTCTTTATTGAAAAAAAAAAAGATACAATACTATTATATTCTCTATTAAAAGAATTACTAGTCAGATAACTGAAGTATCACATATAAATAATGCAGATTTATACATCTTTAGACTCCTTCGTTAACAGTCATGAGTGGACACTGGCAAGAGACGTTCCGGAATTACACTTAGGAATTATCGGTTCCTCCGATTCTGGAAAATCTGCTCTAGTTCACAGGTATCTTACAGGATCTTTCATGCATGAGGAATCACCAGAAGGTGGTCGTTTCAAGAAAGAAGTTTTTATTAACGATCAGAGTTACCTTCTCTTGATTAGAGATGAAGGTGGTGTACCAGAAGCTCAAGTATGTGTTAAAGCTTTTTTCGTTTCTCTTGCAAATTGATGACAGATTATAATCGATTATGATTGATGATATTATTGTTGGTCAATTTCAGTTTTCAGCATGGATAGACGCTTTATTACTCGTATTCAGTCTAGAAAATGAAGAAAGTTTTTCTGTAGTTTGCAATTTTTATAATAGAATGTGTTCCTTCCGCAATATGTCGGAAGTGCCAAAAATACTTGTTGGTGTACAAGGTGTGTATGCATTGTATCTGTTGATGCAACATTTAGCGATATATTGCAATTTTTTTTTTTCAAAACTATAGACTTATTTATCGTTGTTTTTCTATTAATTTTAAAGATTCAATTAACGAAAGTAATCCTCGTGTCATAAAAGATGTCAGGCCTCGAAAACTTGCTTGTGATTTAAGATGTCCTTATTACGAAACATGCGCTATTTATGGTTTAAATGTTGAAAGAGTATTTCAAGATGGTAAGAATATTTACATATATGATAGCAATTAAATATATATATTTAATACGCCTACATTATATTAAAATCAATTTCTAGTGTGTCAAAAAATCATACAAAATCTATCAACAAAACATTTTCCACGTGATGCATTCCATCGTACGGCCGAGAATGACATCAAATTTGTTCTTCCTGTTATTACAAAAAATGCACAGGTTTATAACAAAGAAGTAGAGACAACAAATTCCTTAAAAGTAAGTCAGAATTGCCGCGGTTACGTCTTTCAGCGAATTATAAATTTTTTTGCTGGGAACACTTGTAAAACATTTCTCTATTAAAACTTTTAAACGAAAAAAAAACAAGATATGTAGTTTCTTATTTTTAATAGCCTGTAGAAAAGGATGAGGATTGTCGATCTGTTCACAACAATTCTATGACAAATGATTCCGGATTGTTAAATGATAATTTTCATAATGTACAAAATCAACACGAGTTGCGATCGTCGATTTTAACACCAACTACTATTAGGTAAAGAATCAGTGGACTTTTTTGTAAGCAAAAAAAATATATATATATATACGTATATGCACATATTTTTCTATCACTTTTTTTTATAGGAAATTCAGAAGAAAGTCCAACATATTCACACCTTCTAAGAAGGAAAAATATATGGGTGAAATGGGCGTTGGTAGAGAAATACCGGTTAAACAAGGTTATTTATTTAAACGAAGTAGCAAGTCCTTGAAGGAATGGAAGAAGAAATACGTCACTTTGTTAGAAGACGGTCGTTTAACGTATCATTCGAGTTTACATGTGATTATCAATTACTGAATTAACATTTACGTTCGTATATACTATGCGATATTTACGGACGGTATTTTTCAGGATTATATGAATGATGCCAACGGCAAGGAAATACTTCTGCAATACGTTACTGTGAAGGTACCTGGTAAAACGCCAAAAGGCTCAAAATCGTACAATGCTCAAGGTATGCTATATTATTTTGGTTTTTAAAGGTGCTTTCGTGTATGTTATCATTATTGTTCTCAAATTTATATTTCTTTTAAAAGAGAGCAGTTTCGAGTTTTCCATTATCTCCTTGGAAAACAAAACTTGGCATTTCGAGGCGAGCAGTGTCGAAGAGAGAGATAGTTGGATTAGCGCAATAGAGCAACAAATACTCTCGAGTTTGCAAAACAGCGACGGTGATAAGAAAAATGAAACTGATGCTTTTAAGATGCACTGCATAAAAAACAAAGTCTCGGGAAACGATGCCTGCGTTGATTGTGGTGCACCGAGTGAGTGGATATTTTTTGCTTTTTGTTATTAGAGAGCTTTCTTATAGTAAAAATATTTTTGTTTCATTATTGAGTTTAAAACAAAATATGAAGGGGTTTTAAGTAACATAATGAAGTATAACCCCTTGTTTTAGATCCTGATTGGGCTAGTCTTAATTTGGGCGTGTTGATGTGTATTGAATGTTCCGGCATCCATAGGAACTTAGGATCACATATATCCAAAGTTCGATCCTTAGATTTGGACGATTGGTCGTATGTATAATGCACAATTCTAACGTTTATCATTTTTATCACTCTTGAATAAAGCTTTATTTTTCTCGGTATACAATGCGTCTTTAATATCAGCTCTAGTGCAGGTCACCTAAGCGTTATGCTAGCTCTCGGCAACGACATAGCCAACAGTATTTGGGAATATTGTTTAAACGGAAAACAAAAGCCTGTCTCAGATTCATCTAGAGAGGAAAAAGAGCAATGGATCAGATGGAAATATGAGGATAAACTATTTCTCCCGCCAATCAATCCGAACATTTCTTTAGGAAAATTGCTCATTGATTCTGTCTGTCGGTAAGATGCTTTGGACATGGAACTCCAAGCGTTATTGTGTATTTTGATATTATTGTATTCAAAATAGCATTTTGTGTATGTCATTTATATTTTACACAGAGGAGACATGAGAGCGTTTACATTGTGCCTGGCTCGATGTACTATCGAGGACATCAACACGTCTGTCAGCGCGGAAGATAGGAGAACACCATTGCATCTGGCCTGCGCAACCGGAAATTTAGCAATGGCACAACTTTTAATTTGGGTACGCGTATATCTGTTCTTTCTCTAATTCTATATCTTTACTTGTATATGTCTTATTTGTGCAAATAAAGTCACGTTGTAAATTTTGTATAGCATAAAGCGAACCCGCAAAATCTTGATCACGAAGGTCGAACGTGCATGTCGTATGTACGAGCTTTGGAAAGAACACTTGACAATTCGTCTGATTCTATGGAAATGCAGAAGCTCCTCGAAGTATTAGAACAGGCCAGTGTTTCCGGAGTGGATGACGTGTAAACACATCTCAGTATTAAATTACGAGAAAAGAGTATGCCTTAATTGACCCGCTTCTGTTTTCTGTAATATGTTGTTAAAACTGTGTACTTATATATGAAGCCATATTTTATTTAATGGCTTATAAAAAAAAAGGAGTTTTATTAATTTTAATGACGTTTGTTCGAGAATACTGCCAAGGTATGAAACGAGATTAAAAATTATAAACGATTGATTCGTGATGTTAATTATATATCTTGTAAAAAGTTTATATCATGTGTATAACACTCGTATATTAGTATCAATTGTGAAAATTATTTATTTCAAATTAGAAAGTTTTAATACTATGTACTTTTGTATGTATACATTGAGAATTATTCTTAACCCTCCGACAGCGGATTTATAGGGTCATCTTTTATCTATAATCTTTGGTATTGTTTCCCAAAATTTCATTTTTCAAATGTTTTTAACTAAATCTCGTGGATCGAAAACTTTTTACCATCGCTGTCGGAAAGTTAACAGAGAAAAATGCACTTCGCAATATGAATAGTAAAAGTTACGATTTAGTGAAGTTGTGTGTCAAGTCAATCATTCACATTACTCAAAAAACAAAAAAAAAAAAACAAAAAAAAAAACAAACAAAAAACAAAAACTGAAAAACAATTAATCGCATGATCGAGTGTATATTATCAATGACTGAGAGTACAAACACTCATAAATGTAATTTATATTTATACGCCTAACACATGTGATTGTATTTAAAACCTGCATTCATAAAGTTTTTTTTATTATTAATAGAACATTTAATATTCTCTATGTTATTTATCAAAATCGGAATGATACCGTCGACAATGTAAGTTAGTTAAACTTTATATCATTGTTGGGGTATATAAACAAAAAAACATGAAAAATGTCATATTGTCATATATTTTCACGACGTTGCGCTGGTTTGAACGCAGTTATTTTACACGTTATTTCGATGTGTTGCATTGTTTATACTTCGTCCAGCTTCTTAAATCTTATCGATGATGATGTTGCACTTACGCCGTAAACCACTTCTTCCTGTGCATTAACGTCTGAAAAAACATAAACAAATAGAATACAAAAACCTAATAGTTACAGAGCTCTTAAAAAATTGACAAAATAACAGTCGATAAAAACTATATAACATATTGTGTAGTTTATTATATTTTACGCAAATTATACAAATTATAGAAAATGTATTGTGTGGCATAAATATCGTCTTTTTTTGTTATTAAAGTAACTTCTATTATTTATCTTACCTGTAGGATATTTATACATTGGAAAAATAGGCATTTTACTATAATACGTGGTAGTCGTTAACATTGCTGTAGAAAAATTGGATGAAACACAAACTCTCTGTACAGAAGGATCTCTAAAAATATACAGATAAAAACACATGAATGTGTGTTATAAAAGTTATTAATTACAAATTTATCACAACACGTTATAAATACTTAATGAACAATAACGACTAACGCCATGTAATTAGTAGATGCAAAGAAACAAACACTTTATATGTATAATACTTTATCTATTACTACTGTCTTACACGTACTATATTCTCTCTACATAAAAATAAAGTTTTTTTTCTTTAAATAAATTCTCAAGTGTGTTAACGGATTCTTCTATTGTGTGCCTTACATTTACGTACATTTTATTTAATTCATTAGCTACGATTGTGGGAAGAGACGTCGTAAAAGTAAAGATCCGACTGCAAAGCTCGGTACAATCTTGTAAGGTAGATTGTTCGGAAACAAATTGTTTGAAGATTTCAGCAAACAATCTTTGCAAGCTTTCGATCGGACAATATTCCATGTGTTCTTCAATAAGCAGCATGCATTCCAAACTGACGTGAATTTGTGCCAAAATGTTTAGTTTTTTTCTGCAAATTATATATAAAATATTTTAATTAAATTCTATATAAATCTTGATTTTTATTTCGAATATGTAACACTCTCTTTACTCACTCGCATTACCTATATTTCTCTGTGCTGAAGGTTCCAGAAGATATATCAGCTAATTTTTTCCGAACATCGTGTGTATCAACAAATTGCGCTCCTTTTAAAATATATTGATAATCTCGAATTAGTTTTTCGAATCCCATATCGACAACAAGTTCCAGTGGTACGCTTCCTACTAATAAATAGGATGTGGTTTCTCGATGACGTAAATCATAAACGTGTTTTATAAACCTTGTTGAATTTGTATCATTGGCATGTGGCGTAAATGTATGTTGAAGAATTTCTTTTAGAACTGTTTCAAAACACCTCACCATTTGCGAATATTCTGACGTCTCTTTGTAAAGCAAGAATTAAAATACAATAAGTACGTATATATAACATATACGGACTGCACTTGTATGTACAATAAATGTATATAATTTGCGTTTTAGAAAAAAAATTATACTCACTTATGAGTATCTCCCACAGAAGATCGGTAAAATCTACATCATGTCTCATATAGACATTTTGTATGCGTTCTCGAAGCTTAACGTCAATTTCAACATTTTCTTTTTTATTTATACAATCAACATCTTTGACACGATTATTATCAACTAATTTAAAGTCAGAATTTCCATTCAGCAAAAGTTTTAATTTTTCGCATATAACATTGTATTCCTGTAATTGATATACAAAAAAAAAAGAAATGTACATGTAAAATGTAAAGCCGAATCATTATCGTTTTTGTAAGATACAAAAATTTATTTACCTGAACACATGGCACAGCAAATCTTATTGGATCTTGTAGCCTGCCAATATTGTTGTTGCACTCGTCTATTATCGATAAATATTTCATCAATAAGAGCAATTGGTCTCGTATTTCTGTTAAAGAACTATTCTTCCATTCGGTATTTATTTCAACTGTCTATAAGAATATATTTGTAAAAATGATATTACAGTATGAAACCATATTATAATTTTGTACTATCTTTTTACACACATGTGGCACACACCATAATATTTTTCGATTGCCTTAGATCCAATTCTAGATTGTTTGAATATACTTGCACATTAATACTTCCTTCGTAGTTATTTTTGGAAATTTTGTCCCAATCTATCATTTCCTGCTTGATTCCAAATAAGTCAAAACTGATGAACATTGATATGTTTACCTAAGCAAAGATATTAGAAATCAATTAATCATTAACAAAGACAGCTTCTGATATAAAAAAAAACAAATTATTGTATCAGATATAATACACACAGGATATTCTTGAGAAGATGACTGCTTGAAATGATTTTTGATACTGTTAACACAATTATTTTTTGCCGTGACCAAGCTTGTAGCACCAGTAGAAATGACATCTATGCTGGTAAACCAATTTTCAGAAACAATGACACCAAGAAGCAAAGTTTGTTTACTGTCTTCTCCATCACAAAGAGCTAATATTGACAAACAAGTATTACTATCAACTTGGTCCAGACACATGTTCAGTGCGTTGCTAAAAAAAAAGCTCTATGAAAAGATGCTTAATATATGTTTATTTTAAGATTTAACATATGTTTCTTTAAGTATGAAAAAGAATATTAAAAAAGTACTATACATATACAAACCATGCATTAGCTCTGCTCAATGGTAGATATAACTCTTCTTCTTTTTTCCACATCTGTTTTGTTACAATAATAGTGTCTTCAAATTCATCCTTCTCAAAAGAATATTCCAAGGGAGATCCACTGACATCAAGTTCTACAAACATCCATTTTATGTATATATAATTTAAACAAAACATAAGTTGTAATTTTGTAATTTATATGTAATATTTTTACTTGAGTATTCAATGAGACTTCTGTCTTTGTTTTGATAATCTGAACATTGTCCTTTGGAATTCTGAGAACAGTTAAAAACTCCATGCAACACGTTTGAAACTTAGAGAAAGTTATTATAAAACCTATTTGCTTTTAATAAAAAAATAGGTATAGAACATTTACCCATGAGATACTAGAACATGCAACAAGTTTACACAAGAAAAACACTTATAAAAAAAATATATATATTTGCTCTATGGCACTTACATTTTTATGAAAAACGATGTACTCTTTGTCTTTGAGGTCTGGAAATAATTCGTCTACATATGATAATTTAATTTTACTAGCTCGAATTTGCGGCTTCAGAATACTATTTAATTGCTCACAAATAATTTCCATTTTACTTCTATTTTATTTTCTTTTTTTTAAGAAAAATCAAAAGTCACTTTTCATTCAAACCGAAGTTTCAGATGATTTAAACGACATTCGAACTACTTCTTAGGGCTTGTATCTACTATAGTATCTACAATACTAGAAATCGGTTCGAGATTTCGAACAAAGGCATCGACCAATCACATTCAAATAATTCGATCATTCGTCCAATGCGATTGATCAATTCGCTTTCCGTTTGATAAATCTCGATTTCCAACATGTGAACACAGGCCCTAAAGGCCATTGCATTGTGGCAAAAGTTTAGACGTAGCCTCAAGGTCGTAAACAAATCGACCAATCGCAGGCCAGCATTTCAACTAATGTAAGATAATACTAATCTGTAATTGGTTGAATTGCTTATGACTTTGCGGTTATGGCTAAAATTTTTTCACGTGCAATGGCCCTGAGAAAGGGAAAACAAACCATTTAAATTTTGAAGTATAATAGAATGACAGTTATAGTATCTGACTTGTTTGGAACAGAGAGAATATAACAGAAAATAAGAAGAAGAGAGCGATAACAGAGAGACAAAGATAAAAAGTATTGTTTTAAAACAAATCGCTAATTAAATGGCTACAATTGATATAACGAATAATGATGATTGTACGTCTGAAAAAATTGTTTCTAAAAGAAGATCGTCGATTTTTCACACAAAAACCTTAGCTTGTGATGAAGATAAAGGTTAGTAAAGTATACAAAATGACTAAGTGAAGTGACAGAGCAATGTAGTAAACACAGTTACACAGAGATTTTGTTTGATAAACTTTTTTATTTTATGAAAATATTTTTTATATATATCAAACCTTGTATAAAAAATTTATGTTTATTCATAATGTATTATTCCAATAGGTAATATATCATTTTAAAAAGATAAAAAAAACTAATCTAATCTATATATTCTTTCAGATGACACTAAATATTCAGGCAATAGGAACGAGATTCTCATAAATCAAGTTTCTGATAAGTCAAGGGAGTGTAATGAGCACAATACCACGAAGACTTTTAATCTGGAAGAATATATAGAGAGGCTTAGAGAGGAACGAAAGAACTGGCAGAGGGAATACAAAGATCGCAGGACTCAGCGGAAAAATCTGCTAAAGCAGAAAGCGAGTCTAGAGGGACAGGGACAGATTATCGATATAAATGCATTGACAGAGCGCGAAAGGAATTTTCTTTTGACACGCCCTAATTACGAACATATCTGCAAAAATAGTCAAAAATTGTTGGATACAGCAATAAAGCTCTCTACACTTGGCGAACTTGTGAACACTATGCATATAAGATTCATGAAAAAAATGGAAAACAATATACTTGCCACCACCAAAAGCATTATAAAAATGTCAAATGAGCAATGAGACTGGATTTTTTTTCAAATATTTTAAGAGTTTTTATTTTTTTCATATAAACTCCACAATTTCTTAGAGAAGGGGAGCTATGTAATAAAAATATAAATACTTTAATTAATAAATACAGCACAATACTACAAGATTGATTGTACAATACTCATATATTGGTATGTAATAAATTTGTGGTTCTAAAACATCCAAATATATGATCTCGAGGTATAGAATAAATATGAATGTATTTATTGAGATTTTATATAATGTTAAATTTCATACTAGCAAAATAAATAAATAGTACGAAAATTGTCTGGTTTCTCTTTATATCTAACCTAACCCTTTTTCCGGCATCAACGTTTTAATCTGAAATATTAACTCATACAAAGTTTTTTTGCGATTCATGCAATTTTTACACAATTATATCTTGTTTATATATTTTAATGAATTAATGTTTCAGATATTTCAGAATAGTGTAGAGACAGAGCAACCAGTAGAGTTGTCATCTATGTAGATGAAAACTCTTTCTTCTCGCCGCTTTTCTCTCTTTTTGCGCGAGATATTCCTTTCTGGACTGACTGCTGTGCAGCTCTAAAATGTGATTGATTTTCCGCACAATTTCTTCGGCTATTAACGAGTCCGCCTCGAAATCGTGATTCTTAAACGACACCGATTGATGAAGCGAATGACTTTGACCTGTAACATCGAGCAAGCATTGAAAATTGTACATAAAGAGCGATTTTTGTAGTTAATACAATCTCAAGAATATATAAACATTATTTTTCAACTTTTTTCTCACTGTTTTTCTCGACCAATTAAACGAAAAAAAATGAATAAATACTAAACTGAGAAAACTGTCAGAAGTACTGGATTGCGGAGTGTACACCAAAGTAAACATTGTTTTCGATCCTTTGATCTCTGTAATTTCGCAACATGCGATGTTGTCTATGTGATAACTGACTGCACGCTGTCTATTCCAAAATCTGGCAGCGCCTTTACCAGTTATCACCGGATCTATTTCTATTTTCTCGCCCGATATTCCAAGATGAATTTCGGTCTTCGCTCGCATCTTATTAATTATATGTACCCTGTAAAAAAAAAAACATGTACATTTCAATATTTTTTAATATTTAACTTTCGACAACATATAAATACTTACGTTTTATTTTTTTGTCTCTTGTTCTGATCAACACGAAATATTTTACAAAATAGAAATAAACGCGGGAATGTCATGAGAGCGGATGGATAGGAAAATATGTGGCAATAATATTTGAGATAGAACACGGTCATAATATATTGAAGGTGATAACATGATGAAGTTTACCTTGACAAGATGAAGATTGTGACTTCGATACTGAAGTAGGAGACTCCAATAAAGATGGATGGATAACGCAAAGAAATTTGCTGGACTGCATTGGATAAGGACAACATAAGATCGGTATATTGAGGAAAAAAGCCAAAGATGGACAAGTTTAGTCATTTTGCGACTTGATACAAATTATCGAAAAAATATATACCTATATGATTGATACAACGGCGCTTCCATCGCGGTGGTGTGACCTTCCATCTTGGCCAGATCGTTTGCGACCTCTTCCTGCTCCTTGTCTTTGCTCTCAAAACGTTCCTCATCTTTTTTCTCGATACAACTAATCGTGTTATGTCGCGCTCTGTCACTCGGCTTCATCTCGATCAAGCCCAAAGTGGTAAACTCGAATTTAGAAATGGTCTCACGCGGATCCAAACAGGGGAAAGCCCAGTCTACCTCGCCGTCGTCTTCAGTAATGTATAAACCGTAACGCGAGATATCCTCCCTAGAAAGTGAAAGTCAACCGAGACATCGTAAATAAACTAACGCATGCTGGAAGCAGAAGGTAGTTCGTTACAAACTTCAAATTATGATCGGGATGTTCACTTGCGTATTTATAACAAATCAATCCGACGAAGTCAAGCACTCGCGCTGACGCTATTACCACCACTTGGAGCGGATATGTTCTCTCCTCCTTCGGTAACATGCACATAAATATTCTGTATTTTCTTACAGGTATGCCTACCTGGGCCTGCAAGTAATTTTCAAAAACATACTAATTAGTCATATATATAGAGTTTTACACAACTATATATAAAATAATTCATAATTTCAATTATATTTCTTTACAAGTTGATGTTATTGACTTAATTCAGAATCAACTTCTCTTATCAATTCTACCTACATTGCCATCAAATTTAGCATATTCCTTGAATGAATTCTGTGGTAAATTAGGACATTTCTCAAGTTGTTCTGTCAAGAGAGATTGGCCTCTTGGAGATGCCTTTGCACGAAAATCTTTTCTCTGAAACAGATCTGACTGTTCTCTAGATGTAATAGTATTAGGATTGTATTCCCACTTTACATGTTTGACTTTAGCAGCTTTTTTTCTTTCTATATCCATTTTCTCTAGCCGCTGTGCTGTGTTTGATCTCTGTCTATGACTGAATTCTATAATATCTAGAATATTATGGGACAAAATCCATAATACATTATATATTTCATTTCAACTAAAATCAAAATTTTATTTTTATAAAGAAAATAGAAATATATATTTTGTTGTGTACCCATTTGTATGTCATACGATTCTGCCATTGCATCTAGATCCTCATCGTCACTTTCTTCCATTCCAGGGTAACATTGCAACGTTCCATTTGCCTTTAATTGCTTAGGAATATCTTCTCCGAGCATTATCATTTCGCAAATACCTTTAAACCAAGAAAGTTACATTATCTTATTGATTTTAACGGAAAAAAAATATAATTATCATCATGTAATTAAATTCTTGATATCAGCGCGTTTAAAATAAAAATCAGTATGTAATTGACATAATCTATAAAAGCACACCTGTGTCATCCATGGCAAGGAAACTGTCTCTAATATGTGACAAGAGCCAGTGTTGATTGTCGTAGAGAGCCATTTTTTTGTTTTTTTTTATTTATTATACTAAATATGTGTATTATAATTGGTATATTAGCGAAAATCAAAATACTAATACTCTTTGGTTGCAAGTTGCAACCAGAGAGAAGACTGAACGGCCAAGGCCATAAAGCTTGTGTCACACTACGTATTGCAGACGTGGATTGAATTAGAATTACGGATTGCAAATCGGAAGTTAGCCAATCAAGACGAGGCAGCTTCTTCACAGACTTAAAGCCTGTTTTACAATACAGTCGTAAGCTGTAAGTCGTAAGAAATTGACCAATCACAGACATATCACAGAAGAATAATCGATTGTGATTAGTCCATTTTTTTTACGACTTACAGCTGACAACTGTATTGTAGAACAGGCCTAAGAAAATGTACACGTTGGTTACGTTGAGAAAACTCAACGGTTGAGAGATCATCACTTATGATAGGATTATTCTTCAAAATCTGCAGCGATTCCAAAAGTATGATCCAATCAGAAGTGATTATCTCTCAACCGTTGTACAGCTGTTGAGTTGTCTGAACGCACCCCTCTTATGGCCACTCTCCTCTCACTAGTCTTCTCTCTGGTGCCACGAAACGAGTAATCACGAGTAGTGTTTGAGCAAATTTTATCAAGAAATGTCGGACTCTGAAGGTAATAATTGTTTGATTTGCAAATACAGAGAATACCACAAAAATAACGTAAATATTAAATCATGCGATATTGTTTTTAAAGGTGCCAGTGACGTCGGGAGCGATGGTAGAAGATCGCGAAGTCGTAGTAGCGGAGCGCGAAGTATGGGCTCGAGGAGTCCATCCAGATCTCGATCGCGTTCTCGGTCGCCGTCTGGGTGAGTTGTATTATCTCGAAATATATATAATTAAAGTAATATTTATTTATATTTAACATTTAAACAAAATTGTTGAGCTATTTAACCTTTACACCTTGAGTTTCAAAATTTACTGTAAATATTGAAAATCTGTACAATAATTTATGTAAATTAGTTCATTAAGGAGCTATAAGAGAATAGATTTATGGTTTTTCAGTACTTTTTCTAGAGTAGATGTCTTTTTGATGTAATATTTAAGCAAAAAAGTATGTAGCATACATATCACAATGCCTATTGAATATATTAGTGATTACTTGAGTAGGATAGAAGCATGGGCGTTCGCAGGATTTTTATCAGGGGAGAGGGGAGTAATTTTTTCGTCTCAAAAATTATGAGTTTTACAGAAAGGTTTCACTATACAGAGAGTTTTCACAAATAGATGTATGATTTAATTTGTTAACCAGGGATTTCAAACTTGTTTCAAGATAAAAAACACAATTTATGAAAAAACTTACCTCTCCAGGGGGGAAGGGCAAATGCCGGGTTTGTCCTCCTGCGGATGCCCATGGATAGAAGCCAAGCTTGTTACAATTAATATGTACAAGCATATATTCAGGAGTAAAGTCAAATTTTATTGAAATGTACATACTTATTTCATTTGTAGCTCTGAGGACGGAGATCATAAGATGGATGAAGCAGAAGAAGTTAGGTCGGGAGATGAAGAAGGTGTTGAACCAGAAGAAGAACCTGAAGGTACAACAAAGCTTTGTTTATCTTTTGTTTATCTCTTATCACTAACTTATCTCAATAATGTTTATTCTTAATTTTTTATTTTGTCTGTCTTTTTTTAAATTATATGCAAAATAATATCTTTCATTTCTCTGAGATTTTTTTCTAATTTTTTTGTATTTAGGAGAAGATTTAGGAAGCACTAGTGAGTATGATGAAGAAGAAGAGGAAGAAGATGATAGACCGAGAAAAAAGAGTAAGAGAGGTGGTACCTTCAGTACCTTCATCATAGATGAAGCAGAGGTAGATGACGAAGTAGAAGATGATGATGAATGGGAAGAAGGAGCGCAAGAAATCGGCATTGTTGGAAATGAAGTGGACGAATTAGGTCCCACAGCGCGAGAGATCGAGGGACGACGAAGAGGGACAAACCTTTGGGAGTAAATATTCCAAAGATATTACAATTTTTTCTACATATATTTTAGTTTTATTTTGATAAAAGTAAACAAACAAAAACTGTTTTTCTTATAGTACTCAGAAAGAAGACGAAATCGAAGAATATCTTCGAAAAAAATATGCTGACGAATCTATTGCCGCTCGTCGTTTCGGCGATGGCGGTGAGGAAATGAGCGACGAAATCACACAGCAAACTTTATTGCCTGGTGTGAAAGATCCCAATCTATGGATGGTAAAATGCCGAATAGGAGAAGAAAAGTCTACTGTACTCTTGCTGATGCGAAAATTTATTACTTATCAATTTTCAAGTAAGATATAAATTCTGAATACAATTTATAGTCTTTTACTTTACACATTTGTTTTCTCTAAATATACTTTTAAAATTTTAGATGAACCTCTACAGATAAAATCTGTCGTGGCACCTGAAGGTGTGAAGGGTTATATTTACATAGAAGCTTACAAGCAGCCACACGTAAAAGCTGCTATCGAAAATGTTGGAAATCTCAGGATGGGTATATGGAAGCAGCAGATGGTACCCATCAAAGAGATGACAGATGTGTTGCGAGTGGTCAAAGAGCAGACAGGTTTAAAGGCCAAACAGTGGGTTCGCTTGAAACGAGGAATTTATAAAGATGATATAGCACAAGTTGATTACGTCGATTTGGGGCAAAATACGGTTCATTTGAAATTGTTGCCGAGAATCGATTACACCAGACCCCGTGGTGCATTGCGAACAGCACAGAGCGAATCCGAGGCGTTAAAACGCAAGAAGAAGAGACGACCGGTAGCAAAACCGTTCGATCCGGAAGCAATTCGCGCAATTGGTGGAGAAGTCACCAGCGACGGTGATTTCCTTATCTTTGAAGGAAATAGATACAGTCGTAAAGGATTTCTCTATAAAGGATTCACCGCAAGTGCTATTATTTCGGAAGGCGTCAAACCTACTCTTTCCGAATTAGAGAAATTTGAGGAAGCACCGGAAGGTGTTGAAATAGACGTGAGCGGAACACCAGGAACCGGAGTTTCTGGAAAAGAAGATCAAGCTGTAACTCATTCTTTTAGTAACGGCGATAACGTAGAAGTGTGCGAAGGTGAATTGATAAATCTGCAAGGAAAAATTGTTTCCATAGACGGAAACATGATTATGGTTATGCCCAAACACGAGGAACTTAAAGAAGCTTTGGAATTCCAAGCTTCGGAGTTACGAAAATACTTCACACAAGGCGATCATGTCAAGGTGAGGATATCTGCGAGATTAAATGCGTGTTCTGTTAAAAGTAGAATTTAACATTTTACAATTTTGTGATTAATATGCAGGTCGTAGCGGGAAGATATGAAGGTGATACTGGCTTAATCGTTAGAGTTGAACCAAACAGAGTTGTTTTGTTTTCTGACTTATCAATGCACGAACTCGAAGTTCTCCCGAGAGATTTACAATTGTGTTCGGACATGGCCACTGGTGTTGACAGTTTGGGACAATTTCAATGGGGCGACTTGGTTCAGCTTGATGCGCAAACGGTTGGCGTCATCGTGCGATTGGAACGCGAGAATTTTCATGTGCTCTCCATGCACGGAAAAGTTGTTGAAGCAAGACCTCAGGGTCTTACAAAACGTCGGGAACATAGAAACGCAGTTGCTTTAGATTCACAGCAGAACACAATACAAAAAAAGGATATCGTTAAAGTAATCGACGGGCCACATGCAGGTCGAGGCGGTGAAATAAAACACTTGTACAGAAGTTTTGCTTTCCTGCATTCACGGATGTTCGTAGATAATGGTGGAATATTTGTGTGCAAAACTAGACATTTGCAACTTTCTGGTGGAAACAAGACAAGTTCTATAAACTCTATGTTACCGGTCACAGGTTACATGTCTCCTAGAATCGCTTCTCCTATGCATCCGAGCGGGTTAGTGTTTTTTTACTTACTAGTAATTATTCATAAATTATTTGTTTATGCAACAAATGTTATTGTATTCTTACAGAGGTGGTTTTGGACGAGGTGGTGGAGCTGGAAGAGGCAGAGGTCGTGGTGGCGGCGGCGCGAGACGCGACAGAGAATTAATCGGAACTACTATTAAAATAACAGGAGGACCGTACAAAGGTAACGTCGGCATTGTGAAGGACGCGACGGAGACAACAGCTCGCGTGGAGCTGCATTCCACGTGTCAGACGATTTCTGTCGATCGGTCTCACATAGCAAATGTCGGCGTCCCGACAAAAGACGGTGGCTTCAGCAGTTACAACAGAACTCCGGCTTACGGAGCCGGTGGACAGACACCGATGTACGCAAGAGACGGATCGAAAACACCTATGCACGGCAACCAAACACCTATGTACGAAAGTAAGTATATGACGTCTATACACATAGAAAGTTTCTTATATTTCTTTAAAGTTCATAAATTACTTTTATTTTAATTTCAATGTTATAGATGGCTCTCGTACTCCTCATTACGGTTCGATGACACCGTCTCACGATGGTTCGCGCACGCCAGGACAATCAGGAGCCTGGGATCCGGCAGTTACTAATACACCCGCCAGAACAAACGACTTCGACGGCTACAGTATGGAAGAAGGCGGCTCGCCAGGTTATGCACCTGGATATCCTCCTACCGGAGGTCCATTTACACCACAAACTCCAGGCACCATGTACGGCTCGGAACAAAGCTTCAGTTCGTATCAACCGAGTCCTAGTCCTGGAGGTAGTGCAACCGCAAGTCCAAGTCCTGCGGGTTATGTGGCTACCCCGTCTCCAAGTGGCACCGGCTACACTACCAGCCCACACGGAGCATTCGCCACACCTTCTCCGATGGGTTACAGTCCTATGACACCTGGTAAATAAATTGATGTTTTGTTAACAAGCAAATCAATACAAAAAATTCTTGTCTTTATTCAATCATTTATTTATTTTATATTTGCAGGAGTGGCAGGTAGTCCATATAATCCGTCGACACCTGGTTCAGGATTAGATCCAATCAATACAGGCATAGGTGGTTCAGATTGGCATACAACAGATATAGAAGTACGCATTCGCGATTCGCACGATGATCCAGCGCTTGCTGGACAGACAGCTATCATTCGGGGAATTTCCGTAAGTGATCCTTTTTTTATATATTTCCCGATATATATATATATATACTAAAGTTTTGATTAGCTTTTAGACATATAATACACATTTAAATCATCTTTTTTTTTTTTTGACTACCGATTTCTGAAAATAATTGTTTATTCGGCAGGGCGGTATGTGTACTGTTTTTCTACCTAATGAAGAACGTGTCGTGAATTTAATGTGCGAACAACTGGAACCTGTGGTACCGTCACGAGGTGATCGAGTGAAAGTGATCCTAGGTGAAGATCGTGAATCTGTAGGCACTTTACTCTCCATTGACAATCAAGAAGGTGTAGTGAAACTCAACACGGAAGAGATTAAATTCTTGCAGTTGCGATTTTTGTGTAAAATGAAATCGTCGTAAGTTTTTCTTACTCGTTTGCGCGCGATATTTTGAATATTTACTATTTAATATTTGTATATATATTCCACAAGTTCGTGTTTTAGTGAACCAATATACACAATCGTCGCCATCTATCTTTAATGTTTAATTTGGTTAACATTTCGGTTAAACTTATTGAATAAATATACGAATTGTATAGATTGTACACCATCGTATAGGTTTTGAATGTCACAGATTTGACATATACATATATAATATTATATAATATATGTATAGGTATTGTAATAGACTAAATATATATTCATTTCATAGAACATCTCTTCAGTTCTACTACTCTTGGGTTACGCGGAAATATTAGATTTTAATTATAGATGTAGATTTAGCAAGATTTTTAATCAGTTGGAAAAAAATTGTAATTGATTTATAAACTAGTTTTAGATTTATAAACTAGTTTTTTTTGTATTGTATTTATCTGTAACATAAATATTAATATAATATAGTCGCATTTATCTTATTTCTACCATGTTGATAAATTGTGATGTATTTTTTATATTTCTGTTTGTCTTTTTGTTTATCGTCTATTTGTCTGTGTAGTGTGCTCTTTTAGAAAAGGAAATAAGAAAATATTTTTTGTAAGGCAATAAAATTAATATAATGTCCAATTTGCTAAAAATATTAAGTAGTATAGTATTATAAAAACAAAAAACAAAAAATGTGAAACATTTAAATGTATGTGAAGTTCTCGTTTTTTGTTAGTACAACGAAGTAGTATACATGATATAGTGGCGTGGTAGTCGTAACATAATAATATGTGTAAGCTGTGTAAAAGCCTATCAAAAATATCCAAGAAACCCATGAAAAAACCACGTAATTGAATATAATCGGGACACTCTCCCGAGTATGAATATATGCTCCTTATGGTTTCTCCTAGTATTTATAGGCTGTATCTTCAAAAAATGGTTTGTTACATTTAAATGTAAGATAAATTATATATATGTAAAAAAAACATAGATCGTATATGTTACGACAGGGTAATTAGTGCTCAATCTTTCAAACGTGGTCAAAATATCGGCACCGTTTTGTTCGAGAAAAATGATTACCAGAAGCAATGTTGGACCAACGAGGAATTCACCGTTCTCAGTAGCCGAAGAATATTTCAAGATATTTTGCCTCAAGTAAATCTGACGATAGATCGCACGCGTTATTTTTTTTTGTTTTTGTTTTTTTAATTTCATCAATATTAACTACATAGTGAAATTCAACGTAAGATCTGTAAACTTTTCTATTTTTCCGTTCGCAGATGAGAGTTATCGATTCCGAGAACGATCAGTACATAGCGCATTTAATGGACTATTTTTATATATGTCTTGAAAGCGTACGACGACTGTCGGTGGGCAAAACGAAGCATCTGATACTGAAAGCTCTAGCGGACACTCTAGGCGGTTATTTGCGTGTGTATATTTTGCCTCTCACGAAGCACTCGTATTACGTAGGAAATATCAAATATCGCAACGCAAAAATGCTGCACGATCTCTTCGACGAGCTGAAAGTCTTTCTTCGGACGAACGGCATTGGGTGGTCAAAGCCCAGCCGGGACATCGAGAACGTCAAGATTATTCCCATTGTAATCACACCGCCGAAAACGTCGGTAGCCTGTAACGGGCTTATTACGTACTCGGCGCGTAAGTGCGACAGAATTTTCTTTACAGTCCGAAGAGGTTTCAGGGTAAAAGAGAATAATAAATATTTTTTATAATACACGCGTTTTATATAAATTATTAAACGTAGCTCACGAACGCAATGACAGTGATTATCGAAGCTTTGAATTTAGAAAAAGGAAAGGATCCACGGTGAAGCGTAGACATTTGAGACAAACGGTTAACGGTGAGGAACGAATCCAACTTTATATAAAATTGGTTGTACCACTTTGTACCGTACTATTATCTGTTATGCTATATAAGTATATATTACAAGTTATTAATTTACGTGTGAGGTGTGAATCTTTTGTAACACGATGCGGATCTTTTTTCTTTTGCCAAGAATACAACAGCGAAGTTGCAACGCGTAAAATTATAGTACCTCTCCCGTTCCTCGATAATGAAGCGGAGCCTAACAGGTAGTTATTGAATTCGCCGATTTTTGCAAAACTACCTCAACAAAAATACAATATCTCAAGACAGAGATTCTCTTCCTCAGCATCGCATTGCCCTTCAAAACCGACAGCCTGCAATCGCTGTATTCGGAAAAGTCGGCTTTTGTGATTGTCAAGTATTACATCGCCAGCGTCAAGTGCATCGCTTCGCGATCAAACGCGCACTTGGAAACCTTCAACAAAGACTTTCACAATTGGTTGCAACAATCGGTACGTTTATAATGAGTTTTTGCAAATCGAAACAATCGCGAGAAAATCTCGCGAACTCGTGACGAATGAAAAAAAATCAGAAAGAGAACGACAAAGAATTGTTTGATGACAAATTGCACTACGCTTTTTTCCAGGTGCGTCGACGTCTGGATGACGAAAAATGGTATCCAGCATTCGGGGGTGTTCTCAGAGTGCTGGCTACTTCGCGAGAATTAGGTGATATTTTATTTATTGTGTGACGATTTTGTTATACAAATTTTGAAATACGATCCGTTTTGAGATTTTGAAAACTTAAAAAATTATATTTTTATATCTCAGGTGCAAACAAGGGTATTGCTAAGAGCAAGATAGGTGGGAATTATCAAGTTATGCCTATAGTAGAGCGCAATAGTCAGACAAACGGAAAGTTTTACAAAGAAAAGGGAGAAAGTAAGTTTGTTTTTTTTAGAGAGGCGATTCAATGCAATAGAAATTTTCGCTTTCGCACATATACTAAATAAATGAAAAGAATAATCAAATGTACGTGTTGAAATATACAGGCGATAACACAATGAGGCTCGGAACCACGGAGATTATAATTATTGCGATAGTTTCCGCACTGATGATATGGCTGCTGGTAGGTTTGAGCTTGGTGTGCCATAGATTCCTCGTTAGGCGTTCCACCGAGGGCTGTCCACCGTGCGACGCGAAGGCTGCTCCGTAAGTTTCCGGACCCAAGCTGAAGTCACAGCTTTTTTTAAATCGAACATCGCGTTCTCGTCTTTTTAGATTTGTAGTTCTGTACGAGAACGATGACTATTGTCAGCCAGATACGTGCCCCTCGAAGTCATCGCCAAAGAATGTGGGTACGAAAATCAAAGACTGGTGGAGAAACAGATTTGGACGATGTCCAGGAGGATGCCAGGAACACGGAGACGAAGAGCGTTGCTTGGCCGCGATTAGTTACAGCAGCAGAGACACCGCTGTCAACAATAACAAGACTTATCCGTGCGTATCTCTTTTTGTTTTTCATTAATTGTAACGCTTTGCGCTACATAACATGAACGTATATGATCGAACGTAATTTTATAACAAAAAAATATATTTACACATTAGAAAAAAGAAATTCACAAAGTCCACTTCCGCTTTGCCATCGGGAATCATGTCCAGAAATCGTACATCGTTCAAAGTAAATGATTTATATATTTCTTAAATAGTACACAATATTTTTACGGATCTATTTTGACACGTGCGGATGTTTGCGACACACGTAAGTTTTGTTTTAATGTGAGTGAATGTTTTACCCACAGCATAGTGTTTGCTACAGTTCCGAAGGATCTACGACTACGTCTTCCGACAGTTCTCCGGTTCAAGTCAAAAAACAACAGTCAAGGAATAATAAACAATGATCCAAAGATGATTAAAAATGTGAATGCAAACAATGGATACATGTGGAAAGATTTTTTATTTTAAGATGTGTGTACCGTTTAATTGTATAACATGTTTTACTTAATAAGAACTCAATCTCTCTTACTCAATCTCTCTTAAATTTTTACAGACAAATGTATAAAATTATCGTCATTCTATCTTTTGTAGTTCATTGAATGTAGAATAGAGAACACACACCGCTTTCGGCACGAAAGCGAGTTTTCCGAACGCGATAAAAAAATGGCGCGAAGATTCAAGCGTTGATTTTCGTCGCCATGTTGTGCCGCCGCGGCGTTCGAATCAGTGTGCGCGCGCAGAATCCTACTTCTGGCATCGCTACGGCTCGCAGCGCAGTTCGCAGTGTTGCGCGGTACCTTGAGTGATGTGTTACGTGTTTCTTTCGTGTGCGTGAGGACGCGAAAGAAAATTTTATACGCGCGTGTTATCGTCGCTAAGCTTCGATCGAATAATTTCGGACAATTATTGAAGGTGTAAACACCTTCATCGAGCCGACGTCAATCACTCGGACACCGATGCGTTCGCTTGTTGTGTCACTTTAACCGCCGTAAACAGCAGAACTGTCAACGGCAGAACTGTCACAATGGGAACTGTCAACGTAACTGACAGATTAAACGCGATATGACTTGGCGTGAACAATTGCGTTTGTGTGTGAATTTCGCGCGAGAAATATCTTTCGAAGAGGACGATTAGAAACAGAAACTCAACAAACTCAGTTTCGCGGCATTTTTGCGATCAGTGCGCGATTTACGGTCGCCGTCGATACTTCCGTCGATCAACGTGAATATAGGAACTGAATCGCACTAGCGCCGTTTGTGATAAGAACGAGAACGCGCGAGGTTTCAAGAAAATTGGACATAAATATGTGAGTTTTGATTACGATAGAAGAAAATCGTACATGCAAATGCGGACGGACATTGCTATCTTGCATCGAGCGCGCATGCTTTAGTTGCTGAGAATTTGAAAATCACGAGTGACTCGACGCTGCATATTTTATTGTCGAACGAACGCACAGTGAACGCGATTGCGAAGTTCACGATCAACAGAATAACTTGACTGATATTCCGAATATGTCTATTACGGCGAGATTTTCTTCGCGTTTTCTCGTATTTGCGCGCGTGTATTGACTCTCGTGCATCTTGGTGCTTCGTGCGGGGACAACATGGAACGTGGAAGCCATTGTCAATTATGCGCTCTACTCTTTCTTCTCCTCCTCTTCGCGGACATCATAAAAGGTAAGTTTCTCCGCACTGATATTCCGATATACAGAGGAAAGATAAAGCGTGCGAAAGAAAGCGTTGTTTTCGTTGCACGAAGAGCTAATAAAATTTGCTCCGAACAAATGCGGAAATTCTATATTATAGTGTTTATTTGGTTTGACTTTTTTTTTACTTTATGTTGTTATATTTGTTTTTTTTTTTTTTACATAAAAGTGAAATTAATATCTCATTTAAAGTGCAAAAATATTAGAAAAACACAGATCTACAATTGCAAAATTTTGTGATTTTAAAAATAATTGTTATCAAAATTGTTTTTTATATACATTTTCTCTCTGTGTCTCTTTCTTTCTACGCTTTATATTATTCACGATTATAATCAATGTTCAAATAGATGTGTTTATCTGCTATTTTTTTATATTATTAACTTTCACACTATCTGGTTCTTGTCGTCAATTGTTGAATCGAAAAAATTTTTGAGATACGTAAGAAAAAAAGAACATTTAATTTACACTTGAAATTTGCCGAAGTGATTTTGACAACGTATATGTATTCTATTCTTCTTCATAAACATTCAACAAGTAGCGACAAGCCCATTGACTTGTGCAAGTTAAGTTTCCGAAACGCTCTTCGAATATCTCAAACTTGTTCGATCCATCGTAAACTGAATTTCTTTTATCACATTTTTAATTCAACATATTTTCTCACACACAACAATTAGGTCGTTTAATATAGTATTTTGTTACAAATGCAATGTATGTACAAATAACATTATTTTGACGCCATGCAAGTTTCCGTCATTTGTCACAAACAATTGAAACAATTGAAAAAAAAAAAAAAAAAAACAAAAACTAATACTATCGCGGAGCATTACCGATATCCTTGTTGGATCTAGCTTCCCTATCATGTCCGAATCGAATGAAAACTATTTCAGAATCACGTGCTATTTAGTTTAGGTTTTGAATCTTTCTTTTTTGAACTTGTTTGCCGGAGCAAGAATTCTAATTTTTCGGTAAGAGGGCTCGCGAGTTCAAACTCGTAAATACTTCATAATTCTGAAATAGTTTTCATTCAATTCGGACACGGTGAGGGGGTTCCGGGGAGGTGTTTCCGATATCGAGTGTGTAAAGTCGATAAATTGCGAGCTTCTCTACGCTTTTTCACCAGTTTTCTCCTCTTTCTCCCGGAGCGCTACATATTCATTGATACGCATTTCCATCGCGCGACGGTGTCGATTTGCGCACAAAAGAAAACGAGCGCTGTGCGTCGCGCCGTTTAAGCCACCCACGCGTAAGCGTATCGATTTTAATTAAACTATAAATATGTATGAACCGTTAGCCACGAAATGAGAATTAAAATTAACGCGTTTTGATCCCGGACAAAGGTTGAGATACTCGGCAATAATATCTTTGTTTGTTCTTTTACAAAAACATTTTAATATGTTGTTTCGCTACATAATAATCGTCAGAGCGCTCTTTCAAAGAGCGACGATGTTCTAAAACATCGTAAAAACAACATATATGTGTGTATGTGTAATCCTCTTCTCTCCTTTTCATTCAATGCGCATAGAGGCTCGAATAAAGCAGCGCGGTATAAGAGAAAGCAAGAAGAGGTGAGATAAAGAGATTCGGGTGGGAGTTAAGATTTTATCGCGGTTAGATTACTCTGTTTCGCTCTGTGAAACAAATTGCTCCGGCTGGTCTACCTCGAGTGGACTCACGGGATTTTCGTTTCTCCGAAATTCGCCGTATCTCGAAAAACAGAGTAGATAGTTCCGCCAGAGAAGAGTCTTCTCTGCTTGATGAGTTCGGTAGTGGCGCTTTTAAAATGTCCTTAGCCGAAGACCGAGGGGGGTCGGTACGGAGTTGCTCCTCGTTCTATATTTGCGGAGACATCGCGTCGGGCCACGTCGCGTTAATAAACAGCCGGGGGGAAGACTAAGCGAATAAGAGAAGCCACCGCGAAACTCGGAAGATGCAAAACGATGAAAGGGAAAAAGAAAAAAGGGCAAATGGAAACGCAGAAGAAGAGGGTTGAAAGTCGGTCCGTCGGAGCAAAGTCAATGTCCGGCTAGCGAGGACGTATAAATTGGCGGATTAAATTTAGATCGCCACGAAAATGTCGCCTTTCTCGTTTCTGTTACGGTGGTTTTGAAGTATGTGTTTCAGCTGGCCGGTGCTGCCACCGTGACGATTCTGTTCGAATTAAGAAACGTGATTATTTCATCGAAAAAAACGGGAGAAAGGAAGATAAAAAAAAAATAAAATAAAATAAAATATTGTTTTGTATAAAAAGGACAAATGCTACATTATTTGCAATAAATTCATTTATATGTTTCGTGTTGAAATATACAGGCGTTTTGCTTGGAAATAGTTTTCTTTCGGTTTCTCGCGTACATCGAGACACGTTCCGTTTTTAGTTCGGAATTTTTCTCCGAGGCCGTCCGAGAAATTATCGTTTGTTTCGACGAGACTTCTGCGCGACTTTATTTAAATGAAATGAGCGACCGAGTGGAAACAGAGAGGAAACATATATGGCGTTCTCTTAACCACCTACGTGAGGATTAAGCGTAGGGATACGGACACGACTTATACGACTGCTTCTCTAGCTCTACGTTTGCTCTATAATCTAATATTGCACCGCGCACACTGTGCATACATTCCGAGATTGTGGCAAAGTGCACATTTGAGAAGCGGACAGTTCTCAGCTCTCACGTATGTACAAAGTCGGGTGGACGGAAAATGCTTGGAGCGCATCGCGCGCGAGTTTAACATCTGCAAGTCATTCCGCCGCGTTATTTTCACCGGCTTTCGTCGAATGCGTTTTGCGGCGACGCGTTATTCCTCCTGCTCGTATTTCGTTCACATTAGAGTGCTTTCCATGCGACAGATTTAATTATCGCGGCTTTCACTTCTCTTTCTCTTTCTCTCTCTCTCTTTCTTTCTCTTTCTCTCATTGCCCGCAAGTGCTATTTTTCTTCCGGTACGCTCTTTCTTTGCAGTATCAATGACACTCGATATCGCGTTACGTATAAACCCGGAACAGACGAGAGATCCGAGTAAATAAGATTTGCGTACAAGAGTTGTGAAATATAGTATTTCTATTGTCGCAAATATAATTTTGTTTTATTAATTACAAGATTAAAAGAGATATTACATATGACAATGTTACAACGAGTTATTATTATATACGACGAAAGAATCAGTAACGGGAAGCTATTGCTCTCACCGTTTACGTTACTGGAATAAACCATTTTACGAGAGTATCTGCGCATGATCAAAAGCGCAGAAAGCTTCAATAATACATATCGGAATGCATTGGTCGCGATGCGATATATGTATATGTTACATATCATATAATATTCAGTCCGTGACGTCGCGCACACCGTTCTCTAACCGCAAAAAGAAGAGAGCACTACTGTTTCAACTGTAATTTGAAATGGAGCTGTCTCGATAGTAGGTAGTAAGTAATACATACTGTCTCGCGGGAGGAAGTAATATCTACTGTAATAGATAGTAAGTACTGTCTATTATATGCTGGTGCGCGTAAGGAACATGTATGCATACTTTTTCTCGGCATCTTTCTCGGAATTCCGAACGATAGTTTTGACGAAATATTTATCACAACTTTTGTTCGATATTTTTTTTTCCTTGAAATTTATAATATTTCCTTGTATACATAAATATCTGGCAGAGTCTGAATTTTGCTATATTTAGATATTTCGTGCGCGTGACAATTAAAAACCAACGAGAAAGACGCAAAAATATTGTTTTTTTTTTTTGTTTTTTTTGCATTTCCAGTCTCAGTTCTTCAAAATTGTAACAAGTTTTAATCTCAGGAAATAGCGTGCCACGGACATTCTTTGTAATTTACGCGATAGTTCGATGAATTTATTACGATCTCCCGTGTACGTCACGGAATCCGCTTTGTTGCTTATGCATTCATAGAATGTCCCGCAGACAAGAATGTGCTCGAAATTGGACGCGGGGTAGGCGTGTGCATAGTGAGGCGGGCATACTGTGATTTAATTAATTAACGCAAATTAATCCCAATTAGTGAGTCTTGTCTGCCAGGTGAGTAGGTCTGCTTCGTTATGCATGAAGAGTGCGCGTATAATATAGGTGCTTTCACATCGAGACACATTATGGAACCTTCGGTGTCGCCTTATACCGTCTCTCTTGTAGTTTAAACAATAAGGTACAAAAATTCACGTTACATTTGAGTTAAAATTATTTTGAGAAATTTAAATCGTTGTTGTTTATAAATATTTTGCAGGAACATTATTTATAGATATTTTCATTTATCGTTTCGTACCGTTCGTAAAATATTTACTAGCGTAACGTGTAAATAAACACATATAATAAACATATTTTAATCAAATGAAAATTTAATATCGCAAACTTGACGATAATAATAACGTATCGAAAATAGTTATTGGCAAAAACCTCGTAGAATCGATCGATTTATGTTTTTGTCGATCGCGTTGACAGAACAATTAAGCGTAGTAAACTGAGATTAATCTGTATAGTCCTGGCTGCAGGAAAAGCGTTTTCAACACGCGAGAATATACTCGTTTTCACGTAGTTATAATTAATATCCGTTCGCTCCCAATTCAAATATCATCGGACCGGAACTGATAAAAGGTGAAAGGTTTTTTATATACCGTCACGATTTCACGCTACGATTGTCGCGATAATTCGTATCGCGCGCGCATCGTTTAATTTTAATCTGCAGGATATGAAATTTGATTCGCGCTGTAAATTCTCTCGCGGTCATTACAAGGCAAGCGCGCGCGTATCATATATAATTTATATATGTTCGTTATAAGTTTTAGTTAAATATAAAAATATTGTTAGAAAATTGACTTAAAAATCAAAGAACAAAATTCACTATTAATTGTTAGTTACTGAAAGTTTGTCAAATTTTAACAACATTTCAAAAAATTTTTTTGATACATCTCCATTGTTAAATTTTTCTCTACGTTTTTAATTCTGTTTTGTCTGTTTTATTTCCGCGTC